ACAGATAAAAATAAAGAGACAAATAAATATAGACAGATAGAGACAGTCTGGGAGAGTAAGAGAGAGATAAGAGGAGACAGCAGGAGACAGATAAAGATAGATAGAGACAGCAACAAAGAGGTAGAGACAGTGAGAGGGAAGGAGACAGTCAGACAGAAGTAGAGACAGTAAGAAGGATAAAGACATTTAGAGAGAGCTAAACACAGATAAAAACAAGTAGAGACAGTTAGAGACAGTATGAAACAGATAGAGGGATAGAGTAAGACAGACAAAGAGACAGATGGAGACAGTATAGGACAGATTAAGAGACAGATAAAGACAGACAGAGACACAGAGAATGAAAGCCCTTTGGAGACACATTAAGGCAGGAAGAGAGAGAGAGAGAGACACAGTAAGAGACAGACTGCAAGAGACAGATCAGGCAGGAGACAGCCTAAAAGGAAGCAGAGACAGCACGTTAGAGACAGACAGAGACAGTAAATAAGTTACGTACCCCTTTGTCTTGATTCTGCTGCATGCAACCCCAGCGAGCCGTTGGGGTTTTGGGAAGCCACAGAACCGATTGCTGCAGCAACAGCAGCAGAGCAGCAGCTGCTGCGGGAGGTGCTGCAGCAGGTTGTAGAAATTGTTACGACGCTGCAGCAGCACATACCAACGCACTACGATCTCCAGGTCAGTTCTTCATCGGGCTGCATGCACTTGCAGGCATGCATGCATTCTTGCGTGCGCTTGTTGATTGCATGTATGCATGCACGCATCTCGCCTTTCGGGGGTGAGGAGGCATGCTGCAGCGTTCGGGGCTGCAGAGGCAGGACGGAAGAGCAAGCTGGTGTTGTGTTGCTGTTGCTGCTGCTGCTGCTGTTGCTGTTGCTGCTCCTGCTGTTGCTGCTGCTGTGTTTGCAGCTGCTGCTGGCAAGGGCGCTGCTGCTGTTAGGGGACCTGCAGCGTTGTTCGGAGCTGCTGACTTCGTTTGAGAGGAAGCAACAGGGAGAGAGTGCTGCTGCTGCATTGTTACTGCTGCTGCATGCGCGCTGCTGCTGCTTGGCACAGAAGCAGCAGCAAGGCCTTGAACTTTTGCTGCTGGCCTTTCAGCAGCAGCCCCAACTGCAGCAGATCCCCGTATGCGTTTTGCTGCAGGGTGAGTTGCGGGAAGACGCCACGCACGACCTGCTGCTGCTGCAGCTGCTGCTGCGGCTACTGCTGATGCTGCTGCTGCTGCTGCTGCTGCTACGTTGGCAGCAGCAGCTGACGGGGGCCTTATCGTAGCGCACGCAGAACACTTAGCCCCATTCCAATTAATGCACACTCTTCGCTTTTTCTGCTGCGTCATTTGTTGCTGCTGCTGCAGCGAAGTTGCAGCAGCAGCTCAACTGTGAAGAAGAAGCTCTTGCAACACTTGAGGCAGCAATGGCTGAAGGATGCTGCCTGGCCTGGCCTCAAAGCAGGAACGGGAGCAACAGCAGCAGCAGCAACAGCAGCAGCAGCAACAGCAACAACAACAGCAGCATCAACAGCAACAACAACAGCAGCAGCAACAGCAGCAGCAGCAACAACAGCAGTAGCAGCAACAGCAGTAGCAGCAGCAGCAACAGCAGCAACAACAACACCAGCGGCAGCAACAGCAGTAACAGCAACAGCAACAGCAACAGCAACAGCAGCAATAGCAGTAACAGCAGCAACAGCAGTAACAGCAGCAGCAACAGCAACAGTAGTAGTAAGGGCAGCAACAGCAGCAGCAGAAGCAGGAGGTGCAGCTGCGGCGAGAAAGCAGCAAGAAATCTCCGCGTGGGTCGCAGCCTGCAGGCTGTCTCCCCGCTGCCGCTGCAGTGTGCAGCAGCAGATCGGCTTGAGGCGCTGCTGTTGCTGCTGCAGCTGCTCAGGAAGCAGCAGCAAACAGAAAAAGCAAAAGAGCTGCTGCAAACTGCTGCTGAAGAATTTAAGTGCGGCGCATGCATCGCCACCAACGGCAGCAGCAGCAACAGCAGCACCAGCAGCAGCAGCAGCACAGGGGGCAATAGCTTCGAGGCCTGGGCCCAGGGCAAGATAATCCTTGCTGCTGCAGCGCATGCAGCAGAGACAGGGGAGCCTCATGCTGCGCTGCAGCTGCTGCAGCGCGTGCCTGTGGGGTCTCTTTGCAGTGCAGAAGCATTGCTGGCAGCAGCTGAGGTGTATAGGCAGCAGCTGAAGGATCCTGCTGCTGCTGTGCGCAGCTTGCGGCGTGCGCTGCAGCAGCAATACTGCAGCAGCAGCACTGCAGCAAGAGCAGGCCAGCTGCTGCTGCAGCTGCATCGACCCCGCGATGCTGTCATTGCTTTTAATAAGGCAGCAGCGCTGAGCCCTGAAGACCGCCTAATCATACATCAACTCGGTGAGAGACAAATAAAGGAGACAGTTAAAGGGAGACAGTTAAAAGGAGACAGTTAAAAGGAGACAGATGAAGGGAAACAAACAGATGAAGAGAAGAACACAGGTTTAGCAGCAACTCCACAGGTGTAGTTGTAGGAGTAGCAGCAGCAGCAGCAGCAGCAACAGCAGCAGCAACGGCTCTTTGCTAGCCTTCCTTGTCAGGTCCTCTCCCATGGCAGGTGCTGCAGCAGCAGCAGCAGCTGCTGCTGCTCTTGAGCTGTCGGGGCGCACGGATCTGCTGCAGCTAGAGAATACCTGCTGACGACCTGCTGTTTCCGCTTTGCTTCTGCTGCTGCTCTTGCTACTCCTGCTGCTGCTGTTCTTGCTGCTGCTGCTGCTGCTGCTGCACTTGCTGCTGTTGCTGCTGCTGTGTGCAGTTGAGAGCTTGAGCGCCACTCAGGAGTATGAAGAAGCCGTAAAGAAGGCTTCTAGCGAGCTGGCGAGGGAGCCGCAGGACTGGAAGCTGCTGCTGCTGCTGCTGCGGCTGCTGCAGAAGCTGGGGCGGTCCAGCGCAGCACTTGCTGCAGCAGCAAACCTTGACGCCCCAGGCTTCCTTGAAGGAGACACCAGCGAGCTGCTGATGAAACTGCGGCTTCTCCTCACCAAGGCCTCCTGTCTAGAGACAGCAGCAACGCAGCAGCAAACGCCCTCAGAAGGGGACAGTGCAGCGCGCTCACGAGAGTATATGGAAGGGTATTATGCTGCTGTTGCTGCTGCTGCTGCTGGTGAAGCTGCTGCTGCTGCTGATCATGAGGATGATTGTGTTAGTGCCACGGCTGATGAAAGTTATGCTGCTGCTGCTGCTTCTGTTCATGCTGCTGTAGTGATCGCTGTGCTGTGCTGAAGCAGCAGCACCGGCAGCTTCAGCAGCAACAACAGCAGCAGCAGCAGCACGAAATACGTTTCGTGACGATTATCTCTGCTGCAGCAGCTGCACATGCGGTGCTGCATTCAGGGCGTTGGTGCTGCTGCGGCGAGTGCAGCAGAAGCTGCTGTCGATGGTGTCAGACCCCAGCCGGACCCCACGCCCCTCCAGCAGCAGCAGCAGCAGCGGGAGCGAGAAGAAGCAGCTGCTGTGCGAGGCCTCCCTGCACCTGGCGCGGCTGCTGTGGCAGCTAAAGAAAGATGCTGCTGCAGCACTTGGGGTTTGTAACGAGGCTTTGAAATACAGCAGCGAAGACAGCGAGCTGCATGCGCTGCGCTGCCGGGTGTCTCTGCAGCTCGGATGCATGCAGGAAGCAGAAGACTCCCTTAAAAGGCTATCTGCACTTGATAAACACAACCCCACAAGTACGTGGTGCTGCAGCAACAGCAGCAGCAGCAGTAGCAGCAGCAGCACTAGCAGCGGCAGCAGCAGGAGCGGCAGCAGCAAAAACACAACAACACAACTTTCTAGCAGCGCAACTACAGCAGCAAGCCGCACCAACCAGCAGCACCAGCAGCAGCAGCAGCAATACAACTAAAGCCGCAGCCAACGCTCGCTCAGTTATTGCTGCAAGTGGCACGCTGCCGCAGCTTGCTGCTGCAGATGCTACTGCTGCCGGCTGATGCTGCTGGTTGGTGCTGGTTTCTGCTGTTGCTGCTGCTGCTGCTAGCTGCTGCTTCAGGATGCTGCTGCTGTTTGCTGCTGCCGGTTGTTGGTGGCGGCTGCTGCAGGGGGTGGGGCTTGCTGCTGCTGAGGGGATATTGCACTAGCATGCGCTGCTGCTGCTGCTGCAGTTGGAGAGCTGCAGATACACTTGGTGGCTGCTGCGCTGCAGCGGGGGCCGCAGTCTGTTCAAGAGCTGCTGCCGCATGCGCTGCAGCTGGCGAGACACCCGAAGCTGTCTTTTGCTGCCCTGGAAGCTGCGCTGCTGCTGCTGCGGCAGCGAGGGCTCTTAGAGGGCTGCGAGGAGGTCTGCTGCCAGCTGCAGCAGCAGCAGCAGCAACTGCAGCAGCAGCAGCAACAGCAGCAAACTGATAGCGCCAGGCTCAGGACACTTGCCTACTGCGAAGCTCTCATCCATAAGTACGCGTTTGAAGGAAACCCTAAACCCTAAACCCTAAACCCTGCTAAGCTAAGCACTATATCCTAAACCCTAAACCCTAATACTACAAATTTTAAGCCCTACATCCCTCAGCCCTAAACCCTAAAGCTCTAAACCCTAAACCCTAACGGCCTAAACCCACGATCCTAAAACCCTAAACCGTGCGTCTCCTCGTTGAGCGCAGATGTGCCAGAGCAGCAGCTGCTGTATCTGCTGCTCTGCTGCAGGTGGTGCTGCAGGCCCGAGAAGGCACTGCAGCTGTTTGCTGCAGCGCAGCAGCAACATACGCTGCAGCAGCTGTCTCTGCAGCAGCAGCTAGAGCTGCTGTTGCGTCCCTTTGGTGCTGCTGAAGCAGATGTACTGCAACAGAGCTCAACCCGCAAACGCCTGGCTAGCTTCCTATCTAGCGCTGCAGCAGCAGCAGGACTCGAAGCAGCAGCAGCAGCAGCTGCTGCCGCTGCACCGCAGCTGCTGCCGCAGCCCTGGGAGCAACTGGGGGCCGAGCAGCTGCAGCAGATGCTGCAGCTGCCTGCTGCGCAATCCTCTACCTCAGCAGAAGACGCAGCACCCCACAGCAGCAGCAGCAGCAACACCAGCAGCAGCAGCAGCAGCAATAGCAGCAGCAATAGCAACAGCAGTAGCAATAGCAGCAGCAGTGACAGCAATAACGTTGTGCTGCATGCAGCAGCAGCTCTGCTTTCTAAATGGGAGAGGACCCAACCGAAAGGTCAAGAGACACCTGAAGGGGTTTTGCTTCAGGTGTACAGACAGGAGATAGCGGTGCTGTCTCTCAGACGAGGTGATGCAGAGGCTGCGCTGCAGAAGATGAAGCAGCTCCTGCAGCGGCTGCAGCAGCAGCAGCAGCAGCAGCTACTGCTGCTGCAGCAGCTGCTGCTGCCTTATCTGCATGCGCTCTTCGTTGCTGCAGAAGCTTATGTAGTCCTGGGGCAGCCAGCAAAGGCTCGTGCTGCGCTGCAGCAGGCAGCAGCAGCAGCAGCAGCGGAGGCCGAGCAGGCAGCAGCAACAGCGGCAGCAGCAGCAGCAGCAGCAGCAGCACCTTGCGCAGCAACAGATCCCGTTCAACTTGCTGAAGCAACAGCAAGAATCCACCTGCTGCTGTCCGAGCTGCTTCTGGCTGACCGTCAGCCCGAAGCAGCAGCAGCAGCAGCAGCAGCAGCAGCAGCAGCAGTGGGCCCCAACCCCAAAACCTCTGAACTCCTCGCAAAGATAGCAGAAAAACAAAAACAATTTGATCAGGCTGCCGGCCATTATGCAGATGTCGGTTTAAAAAAACACTTTCTAGGGTTTAGGGTTTAGGGTTTAGGGTCTCCTCCTGCTGCTGCTGCCTCCCCTCAGCTACAGACACACAGGGTATAGACTACTGCAGCAGCAAGAGGAGCTCTTGGAGCAGCAGCAGCAACAGCAGCTACAGGAGCAGCAGGGCTGCTGCAGTTTTTTGTTTGTGCGTGTTGCAGGCCCTGGCGCAGCACCCCAGACAACTGCAGCTGCTGCTGCGGCAGGCGTTGTTGCTGCTGCAGCAGCAGCAGCTGATACCTGCCCTTGCGGCTTGCCAGAAGGTAATTCAGCAGTCTCCTTCGGTGCAGAAGCAGCTGAAGCAGCTGCTTGACTCCATAAGAGCAAGGCTGAGACCTTGAGCTCTAGGGTTTAGGGTTTAGGGTTTACGGCTTGGCACGCCTACTGTCGCTGAGGGGTGCTCCTCAGGCGCCGCCTGATTCAGAGACAGTTGCTGCAGCTGCTGCTGCAGCTGTACCTGCTGCTACAGGTGCTGCTGCAGCTGCAACAGCAGCTGCTGCAGGTGCCTCTTTTTTAGAGGGTTATTTGGGGTCGGGTGTTGAGTACAGCAGAGACAGAAGACAGAGACAGCAGAAATGGTTTAGGGGCTGCGCTGACTGTACAGTGCCTTTGCATCGCCGAAGAGGGTTTAGGGTTTAGGGTTTATCCGAGGGTTTAGAGTTCATTGTAGGGTTTTTGGCGTGTTCGAGGGTTTAGGGTTTATCCGAGGGCTGAGGGCATATTCAAGGGTTTAGGGTTTTAGCGAAGGGTTTAGGCTTGGGGGTTTATTCGAGCGTGTGAGGCTCATTCTGGGGTTTAGGGTTTAGGGTTTATTCAATGATTTAGGGTTTAGGGTTTTAAGGTGAAGGTTTGGGGTGTATGTGCGAGGGTTTAGAAGATTCTGCAGGGCTTCACAAGGCATTCAGTTAAGGGCTATGGCTTAGGGTTTAGGGTTTGCAGCCTTGCATGCGGAGCTGTTGTCACTAAGAAGGTAAACGGATTCTAGGAGGTTTAGGGTTTAGGGTTTAGGGTTTACGGATCAGGGTTTAGGGTTTAGGTGTGTGAAGCGTAGCATGAGTAGCAGCTTCAGGTACCTCTAGACCAATAAGAAATATATGCAGTTCCTGCTGCTGCGAGCCCCTCCTACTGCTACTGCTGCTGTTGCTCTTGCTGCTGCTGCTGTTGCTACTGCTGCTGTTGCTACTGCTGCTGCTGCTGCTGCTGCTGCTGCTGGCATCGTGAGTGTGCAGTTTGCTGCTGCGCCTCGAGTGAAGAAAATTTGTCTATAGTTTTAAACAAACAATATCTTTTTTAAATTTCTTAGAGCCTGATTATATTTATATTTTGTCTTTAGACCCTTGCTGGTCTACAGCAGCAATAACAACAACCCCACCCTTGAGGGCTGTCGGCGGCCCCTGATCTTTCTGCGGTGTACATACACCTGAATGCAGCACTCACGTTTTAATTGAATATCTTTTTAGCTTCGCGATGCAGCAGCAGCAGCAGAAGCAGCAGCAATAGCGACTGCAGCAGCAGCAGCAGCAGCAGCATTGAGAAGCAGCGGTAGCGCTGCTCTGTCAGATTTGATAGCGCGGTGTATATATTTTAATTTTTTTTAGTTTGTTTGTTTAATTATGCAATTAATAATAAATTTTATCTTTTAATTATTTATTTTATTTTATTTTACAGAGAAATGTCTCTTCCAGACCCCAGCCTACAAAACTACAACAGCGAGCTCGTTCAATGTATTGAAGACTTAAAAAGAAAAAGAGAAGAAGTCAACAGACAAATCCAAGAGGCAAACCCTAAACCCTAAACCCTAAACCCTAGCCTTAAACCCTAAACCCTAGCATTAAACCCTAAACCCTATATCTTGAACCCTGAATCCTTAAGGCAAAACCCTAACCACTATATCCTAAACCCAAAACCCGAAATCCTAAACCCTAAACCCTAAACCCTAAACCCTAGCCCTTAACGAGAACCCTAAACCCTTAAGCCCTAAGCACTGGCACTACACTCTAAAACCCGAGCTCTACATACACCCAATGCGTAAACCCTATACCCTGACCTCTAAACCCTAAACCCTAAACCCTTAACCCTAACAGCAAGCCAACGCCCCTCGGCCCCCTACAGCTCGTGCATATCCTAAACCCTAAACCCTCGTGCATACGTATGTAGTACTGCTGCTGCTGCTGCTGCTGCTGTTGCTGCTGCTGCTGCTGCTGCTGCTGCTGCTGCTTGTTCACTGTCTGTACACCTGAAGGAAGAAAGAGACAAGGAGAAAATCCAAAGAGAGATTGCTCTCCTACAAGAAAGACTGCAGCGCCTCAAAGGTAATCAACGACGCTCAGCAGCAGCAGCAGCAGCAGCAGCACCAATGACAGCAGCAGCAGCAGCAGCAGCAACAGTAGGGCAGCAGCAGCAACATTAACGGCACCAGCAGCAGCTGCAAAAACAGGGTCCTAACTGTTTGTTTTTTCTTTGATTTGCTTTCGGATTCCTCTGCTGCTGCTGCTGCTGCAGCCTAAGCAAGAGCAGCAGCCACAGCAACAGCAGCAGCAGCAGCAACAGCAACATTAGCAGCAGCAGCAAAATGAGTATCTCTCTTTTCTTTGTTTGATTTTGAGAATGTTTGCATGCAGAAAGTTTAGCGAGGAAGATACACGCCCGCTGTGAATATGATAAAACTATAGAGGAGACAGAAGGGGCGTATACCAAGGTAAAACAAACTGTCTCCTTTTGTCTCTCTCTCTCTGTCTCCTTCTGTCTCTCTCTGTCTCCTTTTGTCTCTCTCTTTGTCTCCTTTTGTCTCTCTCTGTCTCACTTTGTCTCTCTCTGTCTCCTTTTGTCTCTCTCTGTCTCACTTTGTCTCTCTCTGTCTCCTTCTGTCTCTCTCTGTCTCCTTCTGTCTCTCTCTGTCTCCTTCTGTCTCTCTCTGTCTCTCTCTGACTCTATCTGTCTCTCTGTCTCTTTCTCCGTCTCTCTCTGTCTACTTATGTATCTGTCTGTCTCTCTGTCTCCTTCCCTCTCTCTCTGTCTCTCTTTGTCTCTGTCTGTCTCTGTCTGTCTCCTCTATCTGTTATCTGCTTTATCTCCTTCCTGTATCTCCGTCTGTCTCTGTTTTGTTTGCTGACTTCTTCCTGTACATCTTATCTATTTTCGCTGTCTCCTCATAT